AGCCCGGGGTGCGGCAGGCCTGCCGGCGACAGGATGGCGGTGTGCGCGGCCGCGGGGTGGTGGTTCAGCTGCATGAACTGCATGTGGTTGAGGTGCGTGGGCGGGTGGTTGTAGCCGTTGGCCAGCAGCGGGGACTTTTCCAGGCGCGGAGGATCTGCAAAACAGAATGGAACGCGTTTAGCACAAGCTATTCGAAATTCCAGCCTATTAAGTACATGGCAGAGAATTGACGATGTGTTCAATGTACCACAAATCAAGTTGAAAGAAGATATAAAATACTCATCATCCATGCATTTTTATTACTTAATCTTACATTTAAAGTGTTCATATTCTTACTACTGGTAACAGTCAAGATATTAACTTTTGAATTCATTTTTTAAATGCAGTTTGAATTTCTGAAATATTTTAATTTTGTATTGTCGATAGGGGCATTTTCCAGACGAAGTTTACCCTCTAACAGTCCAATGTAGTGTTTTCACACTAGCACATTTGCATGTTCTTCGTATCTGAGGTGAGCAGAATAGGAGACCCTCCACGACAAAATACACACACACAATGCACGAGACAAACATCATACTCAGTCCAAAATTCGAACCTGCGGCCCTTTGAATCCATGCGCGGGGTGAATGCGTTCTCTGGCTACCCGACCGTTCACATCCGCAATTCATCATTAACTGCCGAATTTAAATTGTTCGTCTATTGATTGATGTTTAATAGATACACAAGCCCTGAGCACATTGTCAAGTGCAAACGGCCCCTTAAAGCATTTAAAAAATAAATAAGTTTGAACAAGAATAGGGAAAAAAACATAGATTCCACGAAACGAAAGGTATTGACAAATATGACTACGGATATTTTTGCGAATGCTTTCAAGGCTCTAAGACCTTCGTTGAAGCGATGCATACGAAGTCATACTTATAAAATATATTGTTTATGCACTGAACGTTACATTATATTATATCATATACATTTACGGACTGTTCTGTGAAACTCAAAATGCTGACTCCGACGGTACCGCCCGAAAGAGAAGACTGTCAGCTGTGGGAACAGAAACAAGAGAGACGGAGCGATCATTCCGTAGTGGTGCACGGTAGTGCGCCACAGCTCAGTACGTTATTGCGATTTTTAGAGAACAGCGACGGTGGCGATGATAATACCAATGACATTTGGCTGGAATATAAACTGGAGGAAAGCACCACAGCAGCATAGCAGAACCGTCACTGGAAGTAACGGCCAGGGCAATGGTGCTTATCGAAAGGCGCTAAATGCGATAAGAGCGGTTAGGGTGGATGCGGTGAAGCCAGCGGGAAAGGCGGAGCCACTGAGTTGCGCTGCCGGCAACGGCGGCGGCGGCGGCGGCGGCGGCAGAGGCGGAGACGAAGACGAAGGCGAAAATAAAATAGATTCCCATTTGAAGCCTTTCTCAAAATCCTAGCCAAGCATGATACATAACCGCGAGGTTCTCCCATAAAATATCATCTCCAATTTATAGATAAAGTTAACTTAGATATTTTAACTAGCATATGTCTAAACAAAACATCTGTAAAGTAATAATACTAAACGATGTATACCATCCAGAACAAATAAATATGTTTAAAAAAAAAATAAAAAACGAAGGCGATGATCGGAGGCGGAGGCGGCGGTAGCAACGGCGGCGGCGAAGACAGCTGAGGCGGCGGTAGCGGCGGAGGCGGCGGAGGCGGCGGAGGCGGCGGCGGCAGCGGCAGCCGTGCGGCGCTCGTGCTGACAGCTGCTCGCTGGCTCGTTATCGTTCTGGCGCCCGTTCCGATCGACTGGTTCATTCACGCGCCTCTCCAAGTAATTCGTGAGATTTGAATTTCGATCCGACACAGACTTTCAGATTGAGGTAGGGAAACACTGTTTCTTTTAACTCCAATTCAAGTCATGCAATGTTTAATCCCATTATCTTAAGGAAACACGTAAACTAAATTAATCTAAAGAAATATAATCGAAGAAAAATATTCCATTGTCTTATAGAATGACTAATAACAACAGGTAAAACAGAAATAATCCTTCGCATAAAATTAGAACACTTCATTATTAAACTTCACGTGAGACTCGAGGCAAAAAAAAAAAATTCTCTAAAGCATATTGTCCTACGTTAAATAAAATTTCGTTACGTCTTTCATTACCGCAAGTCGGTAACTCAAAGTTCATTTCAGTTCCCAACTTAGAGTCTATTTTTCAAAAAGGATATCCATCCCGGTGATATAACTGGCCGCAACGAATATTACATTACATAACGGAAAACCGAAAGCTAAATTTCGCGTCACCATCGAATTTTCAAATACAGATGGAGTTGTCGAAGGAATAATTTCATTCCCGTTTGTAATCAAGGCGGTAATTCGAAGCACTTAGCCCGCGACGTGTCGGGGGAGGTAGCTGGCGGCTCAGGCACGGCTGTTGCCTTTGGGTTGGTTCTTGTTCTTTCTTATTTGTGGACTCTTCCTTAACTGGCGTGTCTGGCAGCGGTATCGGGTCGCCAACTGCCCTGCTGTCATCTCCAATTTCATGTTTCGTGGGCTTCCACTGAGGTCCGGGTGGTCCCTGGCGTCCGTGCGTCTCGGCAGCCCCTGCCGACTCGTCTGTCGTATTTTGCGACGGCCCTGATAGTCTTCTTGAACCCCTTGTCGGTACCTTTTTTTTTTTTGTCAGCCATGTCCTTCGGCTCTGTTGTTGCGGGGGGGGGGGGTTGGCGCAGGGCCTCCTATTCCTGCAGACAGTTGTCGCTTCTTTCTGAGCCGCTGTTTTGCTCCCCGCCGCGCCCGC